TTTGGTAGCTTTACTGAACTGTTTCGCGTTATGAAACACAGAACCGATTGCTCTCCCGTTCCTGCAGCGAGGACGTGATACATTCACTTGGCCGTTGATCGGTCTATGGGTGATAAATCGTGATGGAATATCTTTGAAGCGCCATAAAATGCAGTGAAAACGCACTTGAAGCCATGGACATTTTATCACAGAGTGTGCCGTTTATGTGTGTTACAAATAAATGAATCCAATGTAATTCTATGTTGGTCAACGCTGCAATATTCAAGCTACATATATATGACGGTAAATAATCGAGTATGGACGGGAGAAACCAGTGATTGACATCACGAGCAACATCCAAAGTCGTTTGGTCACGATGACACTGTATCAACCAAGTGGTGGAGCCAGGACATCAATCAATAGGCTGCTTGTAGTTTTCCGCCGCACTCTGCAATATTCGAGCTATGACCAGACAAACCTATGATTGATAGTAAGAACAGCGTCCCACGTTTATTAAGGATGTTTTTAGAAACTAGTTTGAAGTATTTTGGGTATTGAAACAAGAACATGGACATTTGCCCCATTGTTCAACGCCTTATACAGCTCTGCCAAGACTGGGTTTACCTGAACAAGCTGGAAGTATATCAACATATTCCGTGGGGATTCCAGGTCACTAATCTTTCCGGGCCAGACAAGGTTACGTGGATGAACCTTTCTACATTTTTAGGGTGCCAACCCCATCCTCTTCTGAGTCCCGAATAACGTTTACAGTCTCATTTTCTTATTCCTGAAACCAGAATACTACTCGTCACAAATCTCAAAAGCATAGGGAAAAGGGTGCGATTTCAAGTAAAATTACTGAAAAATAATATAAAAGAAATATATGAAGAAAATATTTGCGTACACCAATGTTTTGGAATAAATGTTGAACCTGCATACCAAATACGATCTTCTAGGAGTCCACATCGCTGAGTACCGAATATTCTCTAAATAGACCCCTAAATCCCACTTACCAAAATGGGGGTTGGCAGCCTCGTTCTTGGGACGTCCTTAATAAACCGGACTTAAAGTTGAGAATCTACTGTATGCACAGTATCTGTGAGCCCTGAAATTAATTGAGTCCACAGTTTAAGAAAAGAATCTACATTTTTTGCTAAGGTTTATGAAACGTTTGTCGTTTGATATTGTAGACTGATGGTTCAACGCGGATAAAGTTTTAAAACGAGAGTCCTACAGATACGCATTTGATACGAGAGGTTAGAACTGAGATATGTTTAGATATTTTTAATTTGGTCCATAAGTACATCCTACGTTCTGCTGGATTGCACTGATGTAATAATTTAAGACTGAATTCATACTTTAAGATAAGTACTAAGTATTAAATAGTTAATGACTTGCTTTTCTTAAGAACTGAACACCTTTCCAGCAACTGAACCAAACTTTTGACCACTCGTTTTTGCCACATGGTTTATTCTCCCTGCAGTTTTTTATTGTACGATAAACAACTCCCACTTATTTCTTAAGTATTTAATCTCTCACCCAAGCCTTACTATTTTAATGATATGAATAGATATCCAGTTGGACAAGGTGTATAATTGTTTGCACAATTTATATGTAATCTAAATAGCCAGATACAGCTGTTCACATACTGGTTTTGTGAATGTAACGTGAACACATCGCACAGTAGAACACATCTGAATTTTATATTGAATTTTGATAGAATTTTTAATATTGACCGTACTCATTTTGAACGTGTGTGGATTCTATAAATTATATATTTATATTATATGGAATTATATCTGAAAATAAATCCATGTGACATGTTTGTAATCATAATTTCAGTTTGTTAAGGAGCTATTTCTAGATGTTGTGAGATATGTATGTGTATGATGAATATTTTTACAAGACACTAATCCTTGCTCGTCACGCTGGAAAACACAAATGAGCAACACTGTTTTGTTACAGTTTCAAAGACGTTATTCCGACGACACTGATGCAGATGGAAGTTCCTCTGTTCTGCCACGTGTCCTGCCGGGGAATCAGGTCCAGGAGAGTCAAGTCAGACTTAGATAGGCGGATCATATGTCGTGGAACACGAAAACAGACAAACGAGTCTAGAATGTTACTTAAATTCTGTCGCCTGATTTCTGTACGTCATAGAAGGTGACTAAATTGGTGATCAGATGGTCCCAACGGCTGCTAAGCATTAGTTACAGTAATTCTTTTGCTAAATTTACTAAACTGTGACGTGTTGTGAATCACAGAACCAATAGCTCTCTCGTTGATGGGAGGAATTGCCAAATTCACTCTGGAACTGAGTGGTCTAAGGGTAATATATCGTGATGCGATGTTTTGTGAAGCCAGTTTAATTAAAAACTTAGACATTTTTAAAAGTAATCCCATATATAATATACAACGGACAAATGTATCAGAGAAGGTAATTGTTTATCATTAATGTCAAAAGAAGGATTTTAATTAACGAAGGTAACCATAATTTGTTCCAAGCACCTACGGTATTTGGTAATAACATCAACAGTTTAAATCAAGTCCCAAGCACGAGAATCTGTTGGCACACAAGTTCAGTAGCGTGTATGGCCACCATGTGCGTTGACAACTGCCACACAATGCCTCCGCATGGACCTTGTGATGCTTGTGAACACATGATTGGGAAGACGACGCCATTGTTGCTGCAAAATGGTGCCAAGATGTCGCAAATTCTGTGGTTGGTTCTAGAGAGTGCGCAGACTTCTGCCAAGAGCATCCCAGACGTGTTCGATGTGATTGAGGTCGGGAGACCTTGACGGCCAGTCCATGACGTTGACTCCCGCATTCTGAAGGAAATTCCTTGTCAAGAGTGCTGTGTGGGGTCTGGCATTGTCGTGTTGGAAGATCAAACCGGGTCCATGTGCTGCCATTAAAGGCAGAAGTTCTGGTGCTAGTACCCGGTCGCGGCAAGCAGCAGCGATGAGGTTGCCACGGATGTCAAGAAACCTGGAACGTGCATTGCCACAGAAAGCACCCCACACCATGACACTTCCGCCTCGAAATCTGTCAACTTCCTGTACACAACACTGGGCGTAACGTTCATGACGGCGCCTCCACATCCTCGCCCTACCATCAGCAAATCGAAGATTAAATCGGGATTCATTACTGAAGACGACTTGATTCCTGATTCCTCAGAGTCCATCGTAAGTGTCACTGTGCCAACAATTGACGTTGACGTCTGTGTAATTGAGTCAGAATCGGCCCACAGTATGGCCGTCGTGCTTGAAGATGAGCAGTTCTCAGACGGTTTCGAACAGTTTCGGTTTGCGCACTCAGTCTACCCCTAAACAGTTCGTTTCTTGTTGATGTAGCCGTCAAAAATCGGTTACAGAGGTGACGTAAGACAATCTGACGATCCTCTGCATGTGACGTTACACGTGGTAGACCTGGCCGAGGGCGATCAGCGGTGGTACCCGTTTGCTGTAGACGCGTCTGTAAATCATAAACAGGACTACAACCCATCGTCCTTGCGACTTCAGCTACGGACGTTCCCGTCTGCAACATGCCGTTGGCACGTTCACGTTGCACATTTGAAAGGCGTGGCATGACAAATGGCCGTAAAGACTTTTGTTTTCTTGTGTTTTTCTTTTTTTTTAATGACCGCTAACACGTAATCTAATAATCGAATCTAGACCCAGTGTATTTAGAACAAATACAAAACGCCCATTCGCCTCCACTCGCCCCTATTTCTGTGACCTGCAAGCAGCTTGTCCTACTTTGACACGAGTTGGTAACGAAACTGACGGTAGCTCAATTTCCCTCCACAGCGGTTATCTGCTTGTCTCAGGTAAGTGTGTTGTCACAAGGCTTGCGTCTACTTCAATTATAACGCTACACACCTGTCCTACTGTTTACTGGTAACACCATTATGTGAACTGTAATAATGTCTCCTACTTTCGATATGGTAATGAGTTGGTGTCACCCCATAACTATGTCACGTGATCGATACACTGCACACGGTTCACAAGTGCACGCACTTCATGTTGTAAATGCACCTGCACAATGAGAGGAGAGAGAGAGAGAGAGAGAGAGAGAGAGAGAGAGAGAGAGAGAGAGAGAGAGAGAGAGAGAGAACACGCACACACCACACAGACAGACACACATATATACACACTATTAGAGCTGGATGTTAGGTTGTTCATAAGAAATGCATACATCTGAGATAACTTTTCTTTTGTTTGTTTGTTGTTTAAGGCCGCACTCAGCAATATTCCAGCTGTATGACGGCGGTCTGTAAATAATCGAGTCTGGACCAGACAATCCAGTGATTGACATAATGAGCGTTGATCCACACAATTGGGATATGATGACATGCATAAACCACCCGATGCCGTTAGTCGCCTCTTACGACAAGCACAGTTGCCTTTGACTGCAAGCACAGGTTGCTGAAGATCTATTCTACCCCAAATCTTCATGGGTCTTATGAAACGGGATATTTGTTAATTGTTTCAAGATCTGGACGATCCAGTCGGTGAATGGGTGGATACAATATACCCTTTCTTAGTTTTGAACGGGACAGTAAATAAGTCCCCCTACTACAGTCGGTCTTAGTGTCAGTGTTCAAGAACTGCACGCTCGGATTGTGAGGTGAGGTAAAATGGGGTTTAACGTCACGTTCAAGATTATTGCACTGATATAGCGACATGCATGTGCGTACGTGTGTGTTTGTGTGACTGATGCCGATTTATAGTGCTAGCTCACTGAGATACCATGCCGCAGTTTAACATGAATACCCCACTCAGACACAGTATACTGACTCCGAGTCGACCAGTCCTTGTTTTACACCCTTAATGCCGGGCGCCAGACAGGGTAACAACAAGTACCATCTTTTAACGTCTTTCTGTGTGACGCGGGCGGGGATCGAACCCCGGACCTTCGGCTCTCCGGGTGGACGCTCTACCAGTCAGATTGTGGCTAAAATTTGTCTTTTGTGTACACCGGAAATACAACGGCTGGTTGATCTTTGTGTAGGTGAGATGGCGACCTCCCACAAGTTAACAGAACACTTCCTGACATGCACCATATGTACAGAGGTGTTTGACAAGCCCTGTACACTTGTATGTAATCACACCTTCTGTCGGAAATGTGTCATCACCTACACCAAAACCAGACCAGAAGCCACCAGTGCCAAGTCTCTCCTGTGTCCATTCTGCAGCAAGATGACGAAAGTGTCTGCCCCTGAGAGACCAGTGGAGGAGTGGGCGGATGACGTCAAGCCTAGCTTTGTCATCCAGGGACTCTTGGACTCGTTTGGCCCCGGATCTAAAGGTGAGAGTTTGTGGTTTGTATGAATATAAATGTTACTTCTAAGCAGGCAACTCCACACCTGACTGGATTATAGGAATGTGTGTTGAGTGAGAAGATATTTTGTATGATTATCCAGACATGATTCGAAAGGGAGATGGTCTAAGGTCTATCTCAGAAACAATCGCTGTTTTTTCTGAGATCTATATCTATATGGCGATTTCTATCAGTGAGACAAATCCAACATTATTTACATAATATTTCACTTTCCTACGTATTGGAATGTTACTGATGCATGTTGTCTTACCCGTGTGAGTGGTATGTCACATCAAGTTCTGTAATAGATAGTGATATAGAACTGTTAATCTCTCTACATGAATCGATTCCTATTTCAGATACGACTCACTGTAGTTATTGCAAGGAGGAAGGGGAGACAACTCCAGCTACAACTTGGTGCTCTGTTTGTGACGACGCACTCTGTGAACGATGTATTCGAGTACACAAACGAATTCCATCTTCCCGACACCATGACGTAGTTGACCTGTCTGGTGAGACAAAGGTTAGGGTCAATAGAAAGGTCATGTATAAAATTCACAAAGATGAGAATATCAAATATATTTGTAAAGATTGTCAAACAGCTGTTTCTCAAACATGCTGCATTATTCATCACAGGAAATGTGACTTGGTTGTTGAAATTGAGTCTGAGATTCCTGCAATGAAAACCGAGCTGAGAAAGAATAAAGAGGATTTGTTGAAGAAACACAACGAGATGAAAACACATGTAAGAACACAAACCTCCAAAGTCGATGACGCATTAACGCTTTACTTACAAATAGAATCGAATATCAAGTCTGCAGGTCTCAAAGCAATAGAGGCGATCAAAGTCAAGGAACGGAAACTTTTGGCTGAACTGAAAGAAATGTCTGGCAGACACATTGGAGAACTGAAAGCAGACATAAAGTCAGGTGAGATGTCAGTACAGATGTACAAACAACAGGCTGAGCTGATAGACCAAACTCTACAATCTGAGTGTGACATGGGTGTGTATGAGATGTACCAGGGATGTGAGGCCGGTGATGTGGAGGCTGTCGGAGTCGCAGAGCTAAAAGAGAAGGGGGGAATAGCCAGGATCATGTTCAGACAGGACACGGACAAGCTGAGTAGAGCACTGGACGATCTACAGCTGGGTGAGATAGACGTCTCACACAGCTGGGTGTGCTGGACCTGAAGGCTACTCCTGTGTTACAGGACACCATTAACGTGCTGGACCTGAAGGCTACTCCTGTGTTACAGGACACCATTAACGTCAGAGTAGCAGGAGATACACATGGAGCATGCCCCAATGACGTGAAGGTGTTTGTGGTGAATGGTACAGACACAGTGGTAGTCACAGACAACAACAACAACAGTGTGAAGTCCTTCTACACCAGGAACAAGAAGCCATGTCACAGCAGGCTCAGTCTGGGTGGTGCTCCGTGGGGTATAACAATGTTGAAGGACAACCAGGTGGCTGTCACTGTGCCGGGTTCCAGTCAGATTGTAACAGTACAAGTCAACCCTGACCTAGTGCTGCTGTCAACCATCACAACCAGCAAACGGTACTTGGGTATAACGTCTCTGACACCATCAACACTAGCAGCAAGTTCCATCTCCCCTCCTTGTGTTGATATCCTGGGTATGACGGGACACGTGCTGAGGTCAATTTGTCCAGGACAACCTAGTAGATACATCTTGAAGAATCCCCGCTACCTCTGTACCACGAGGACAGGAAACATCCTGGTGTGTGACAGTGGATCCAAGTGTGTCGTGTGTCTGACTCCCGAGGGAGATGAGGTCTTCACCTACAGCCCTACAGGAGACACATCAATGAAGTATCCACTTGGTATCACAAGCACCAGCACAGGTGACATCCTGGTGACAGACTACTCTCTACACAGAGTCCTCCATCTGACTGAGTCAGGACAGTTTGTTAGAAACATGCTGACATCACAGGATGGTGTCCAGAGTCCACGTGGAGTGTGTGTTGGTGGGCGTGGCCGCATGTACCTGTGTAGACCAGATTCGGTGAAGGTATTTACATGTAAGTGAGTGAACATGTGACAAGTCTCCTGTCAATAAACTATAGTCGTCTTTGTTGGGGGATTTATGTGCAGTGATATGTGTCATTGTGTATTTAACTGTAAGCACATTTCACTGTATTTGGTAAAATCACATTCTACATTTGCGTTGAATGAATTGTGAATGAAGATTTAACTTGTGTAAACATTTTATGTGTTATCTGAGTAGCAAGACATGGCTCTTTGTGTACTGCTCGTATCACTAAAATCTATTCTGAGCATTGTCTAATTTAATATATTATGAACTTCGAATAAAAGTGGTTTCATTATTTCCGAATACCAGATCGTCGGTATGATGTGTTTTTCATGTTTGTAATCATAACGCGAGTGTAACCCGGAGCTAATTTCTACTGTGTTATAACTAGAGGTGGTGTGAGCTATGGCGGTGTAGGATGGATATTTACATGACAGTAATCCTTGCTTGCTATGCTGAGGACAATAAGCAGAAGATGGGACGGATATACGTGAAATATGAGTATCAGTGTTCAACAAAATCACATGATATAGATGTATATAGATATATACATTAAATGTACTAATTGTTTTGGTAGCTTTACTGAACTGTTTCGCGTTATGAAACACAGAACCGATTGCTCTCCCGTTCCTGCAGTGAGGACGTGTTATATTCACTTGGCCGTTGATCGGTCTAAGGGAGATAAATCGTGATGCAATGTTTTTTGAAGCGCCATAAAATGCAGTGAACGAATGCACTTGAAGCTATGAACATTCTACCACAGAGTGTGCCGTTTATGTGTGTTACAAATAAATGAATCCACTGTATTTCTACGTTGGTCAATATTCAAGCTACATGTATATGACGGTAAATAATCGAGTATGGACGCAAGAAACCAGTGATTGACATCACAAGCAACATTCAAGTCGTTGGGTCACGATGACACTGAATCAACCAAGTGGTGGAGCCTGAACATCGCATCCATTTGGTCGCCTCGACTATACTAATACCTATACCAACCCGGAATCACCACGGTGAGACCTTCAATAGGCTGCTTGTTGTTTTCCGCCGCACTCCGCAACATTCCAGCTATGACCAGACAAACCTATGATTGATAGTAAGAACAGCGTCCCACGTTTATTAAGGATGTTTTTAGAAACTAGTTTGAAGTATTTTGGGTATTGAAACAAGAACATGGACATTTGCCTCTTTGTTCAACGCCTAATGCAGCTCTGCCAAGAATGGGTTTACATAAACACCCTAGAAGTATATCAACACATTCCGTGGGGATTCCAGGTCACTCCGGGCCAGACACGGTTATGTGGATGAACCTTTCTACATTTTTAGGGTGCCAACCCCATTCTCTTCTGAGTCCTGAATACCGTTTTCAGTCTCATTTTCCTATTACTGAAACTCATCACAAATCTCAAAAGCATTGAGAAAAGGGTGCGATTTCAAGTAAAATTACTGAAAAATAGAAACAAATATAAAATATATGAAGAAAACATTTGCGTACACCAATTTTTTGGAATTAATGTTGAACCTGCATACCAAATACGATCTTCTTCTTCTCTTCCACATCGCTGAGTACCGAATACACTCTAAATAGACCCCTAAATCCCACTTACCAAAATGGGGGTTGGCAGCCTCGTTTTTGGGACGTCCTTAATAAACCGGACTTTAAGTTGAGAATCTTCTGTATGCACAGTATCTGTAAGCCCTGAAATTAATTAAGTCCTCATTTTAAGAAAAGAATATACATTTTTTGCTAGTGTTTATAAAACGTTTGTCGTTTGATATTGTAGACTGATGGTTCAACGCACATAAAGTTTTAAAAACGAGAGTCCTACAGATACGCATTTGTTACGAGAGGTTAGAACTGAGATATGTTTAGATACTTTGAATTCGGTCCTTAAGTACATCCAACGTTCTGCTAGATTTGCACTGATGTAATAATTTAAGACTGAATTCATACTTTAAGATAAGTACTAAGTATTAAATAGTTAATGACTTGCTTTTCTAAAGAACTGAATACCTTTCCATCAACTGCACCAAACTTTTGACCACTTGTTTTGGCCTCATGGTTTATTCTCCCTGCAGTGTTTTATTGTACGATAAACAACTCCCACTTTTTTCTTAAGTATTTAATCTCTCATCCAAGCCTTACTATTTGAATGATATGAACAGATATCCAGTTGGACAAGGTGTGTAATTGTTTGCACAATCTATATGTAATCTAAATAGCCAGATACAGCTGTTCACATACTGCTTTTATGAATCTAACATGAACATATCGCACAGTAGAACACATCTGAATTTTATATGGAATTGTGATGGAATTTTAAATATTGACCGTACTTATTTTGAACGTATGTGGATTCTATAAATTATATATTTATATGATATGGAATTATATCTGAAAATAAATCCATGTGACATGTTTGTAATCATAATTTCAGTTGTTATGGAGCTATTTCCACCCTGTATCCTGGAGATCTTGTGAGATATGTATGTGTATGATGAATATTTTTACAAGACAGTATTCCTTGCTCGTCATGCTGGAAAACATAAATGAGCAACACTGTTTTGTTACAGTTTTAAAGACGTTATTCCGACGACACTGATGCGGATTGAAGTTCCACTGTTCTGCCACGTGTCCTGCCGGGGATTCAGGTCCAGGAGAGTCAAGTCAGAGTTAGATAGGCGGATCATATGACGTGGAACACGAAAACAGCCAAACGAGTCTAGAATGTTACTTAAATTCCGTCAGCTGATTTCTGTACGTCATAGAAGGTGACTAAATTAGTGATCAGTTGTTCACAACGGCTGCTAAGCATTAGTAATAGTTACAGTAATTCTTTTGCTAAATTTACTAAACTGTGGCGTGTTGTGAAGCACAGAACCAATAGCTCTCTTGTTGTTGGGAGGAATTGCCAAATTCACTCTGGAACTGAGCGGTTCGATGGTAATAAATCGTGATGCGATGTTTTGTGATTTGCGTGTGATAACACGGAAATGTAATCACTGTTGTGCTATCGATGCTTGATGCAAAGTACAGAAACATACAGCATTTACGACTTTGTGCTTATTGTACATTGCACCAACCAAGTGAGCTTGAAAGAATTAGTTTGCGAGCAGCTTACAGAGATATTAGCCACTGTATGTTGGTAAATAATCACGTTAAACCGGTGAAGGAAACCCGCAAGAAGAGAGTATCGTAACATATTCTCGAGTAAATAATTGTAGTTTTCCTGTCATCAATATTACAGCTGTCAGTCTGTAAGTTTGTTTGTTGTTTACGCGGCACTCGGGATTATTCCAGCTCCATGAAAGCGGCCTTTAAATAATCGAATCTTGACCCAGTGTGTTTAGAACAAGTACAAAACGCCCATTCGCCTCCACTCGCCCCTATTTCTGTGACCTGCAAGCAGCTTGTCCCACAATGACTCGATTTGGTAACGAACGAATCACGCCCACACCCCTCTAGGATAGATCTCATCGGCTGCTCAATTTCCCTGGACACCGGTAACCTGCTTGTCTCGGGTAAGTGTGTTGTCACAAGGCTTGTGTCTGCTTCACTTATTACGCTACAAACCTGTCCTGCTTTGTACTGGTAACACCACAAGGGTTCATCTAACTATACAGTCATCTCCTGCCAGATTCTCATGACCGGGTATCTAATTAAATATAACATTTAGGCTAACCGGGATAATTTAAAGATCCACAGTCATTAAATACTCTGATCGGCCACTTGTCTTCAATACTGAGACCGATCCCGAAGTATATGAATGTATAAATCACGTGTGTCTGTTACAGTTATTGTTACTGACATAATCTCTGACAAATGCTTCAGTAAACCATACGGGAAAATACCTCCACATAACTGTATTATTTCACATCTGAAATGGTTCTATAGTATGTGAACTGTAATAATGTCTCCTACTTTCGATATGGTAATGAGTTGGTGTCACCCCATAACTATGTCACGTGATCGATACACTGCACACGGTTCACAAGTGCACACACCTCATGTTGTAAAGCCAGCCTGTGATAATGATTTGACAAGCACCACACACGAGCTGCCATTGTGAGGCCACTGTTTCTGAGTTCTCGGTGTCACCATGACATGCATTGCATAACAAACGCGTACTGTCAGGCCATCAATATTTTACTTATTTTCCAACTTCAGCAAGCGGACTAAAACCAACCAAACAACCAAACAAAACTACTTAGGTACCACCTCATGTGTTCAAAACTGGTTATGAATCTCGAGAAGTACATGTCTTGATGAACTGACGACATTGTTAATGTGTTATATGGGTAGTTCAATGGTTCCTGTATCCATGCTTAAGTCGGGAAAGGCGGGGGGCTTACAAGATGTGTAGAATCGAAACTACAGTCATATATTTTCTTCGAATATCTTGCAGATAAAATATCGGGAAGATTGGTTTTAACGAAACGGAAAATATTTAATTTATTTCCATAGTGAGATGATATATATATATACAGACTGGTGAACGGGTGGCTATAAAGATGAGAAACACACACGCGCACGCGCACACGCGCACACGCACACATACACACACACACACACATACACACATAACAAAAACAAACCACACACGCAGGTACAGTAAGCAAAAGTTGGACTCATCTATAAATGTGTGCGATGACGTTTTTATTAAACGGGATATTGGTTTATGTTTTCAAGATCTGGAAGATTCCAGTTTGGGGAATAGGTTAATACACAATCGTTTTTTTACATTTTTGATCGGGAGAGTAAATTATCACAACCGAAGTCGGCCTTAGTGTTTAAGAGTGTTAAGCTCGGGCTGTGGATTAGACGTGCATGTTTTATACAGCCAATACACGACTGGTTTGTCTTTTTCTAGGTAAGATGGCGACCTCACAGAAGTTAACAGAACACTTTCTGACATGCACGATATGTACAGAGGTGTTTGACAAGCCCTGTACACTTGTATGTAATCACGCCTTCTGTCGGAAATGTGTCGTCAACTACACCAAAACCAGATCAGAAGCCATCAGTGCCAAGTCTCTCCTGTGTCCATTCTGCAGCAAGATGACGAAAGTGTCTGCCCCTGAGAGACCAGTGGAGGAGTGGGCAGATGACGTCAAGCCTAGCTTTGTCATCCAGGGACTCTTGGACTCGTTTGGCCCCGGATATAAAGGTGAGCGTTTGTGGTTTGTATGAATATAAATGTTATTTCTAAACAGGTAACTCCACACCTGACTGGATTATAGGAATGTGTGTTGAGCGAGGAAAATATTTTGTATGGTTTCAAAATATATCGAAAGTCATTTATTAAGTTCTTTGTAGGCTGTATGTAGACTATGAATTCGTATCATGTACACTGTTTTAACAAGTAACAACGATTATTCTGACGTGATTTGAAAGGGAGATGGTCTTAGGTCTATCTCAGACACAATCGCTGTTTTCTTCTGAAATCTATATCTATATGGCGATTTCTATCAGTGAGACAAATCCAATGTTATTTACATACATTTTTACATTACGTCGTATTGGGATGTTATTGATGCATGTTGTCTCACCCACGTGAGTGATGTACATGATATGCCACATAAGTTCTGTAATAGATTGTGATATAGAACTGTTACTATTTCTACATGATTACATTCATATTTCAGATACGACTCACTGCAGTTATTGCAAGGAGGAAGGGGAGACAACTCCAGCTACATCTTGGTGCTCTGTTTGTGACGATGCACTCTGTGAACTATGTATTCGAGTACACAGACGAATTCCATCTTCCCGACACCATGACGTAGTTGATATGTCTAGAGAGACAAAGGTTAGGGTCAAGAGAAAGGTCATGTGTAAAGTTCACAAAGATGAAAATATCAAATATATTTGTAAAGATTGTAAAACAGCAGTTTGTCAGACATGCTGCACAATCCATCACAAGAAATGTGACCTGGTTGTTGAAATTGAGTCAGAGATTCCTGCAATGAAAACCGAGTTAAGAAGGAATAAAGAGGATTTGTTGAAGAAACAAGACGAGATGAAAACACATATTGGTAAACAAAACTCCAAAGTCTATGAAGCATTAACACTTTACTTACAAATAGAATCGAATATCAAGTCTGCAAGTCTCGAAGCAATAGAGATGATCAAAGTCAAGGAACGGAAACTTTTGGCTGAACTGAAAGAAATGTCTGACAAACACATTGGAGAACTGAAGGCAGACATAAAGTCAGGTGAGATGTCAGTACAGGTGTACCAACAACAGGCAGAGCTGATAGACCAGACTCTACAATCTGAGTGTGACATGGGTGTGTATGAGATGTACCAGGGATGTGAGGCCGGTGATGTGGAGGCTGTCGGAGTCGCAGACGTGAAGGAGAAGGGAAGAATAGCCAGGATCATGTTCAGACAGGACACGGACAAGCTGAGTAGAGCACTGGACGATCTACAGCTGGGTGAGATAGACGTCCTGTATGGGTGTGTGCTGGACCTGAAGGCTACTCCTGTGTTACAGGACACCATTAACATCAGAGTAGCAGGAGATACATCTGGGGCATACTCCAATGACGTGACGGTGTTAGCGGTGACTGGTACAGACACAGTGGTAGTCACAGACTACTTGAACAACAGTGTGAAGTCCTTCTACAACAGGAACAAGCAGCCATGTCACAGCAGGCTCAGTGTGGGTTGTCGTCCGTGGGCTATAACAAAGTTAAAGGACAACCAGGTGGTTGTCACTCTGCCAGATAACAGACGGATTGTAACAGTACAAGTCAATCCTGACCTGGTGCTGCTGTCAACCATCACAACCAGCAAAGAGTACTGGGGTATAACGTCTCTGACACCATCAACACTAGCAGCAGGTTCCAACTCCCCTCCCTGTGTTGATATCCTGGATATGGCGGGACACGTGCTGAGGTCAATTTGTCCAGGCAAACCTAGTAGATACATCTTGAAGTATCCCTACTTCCTCTGTACCACGAGGACAGGAAACATCCTGGTGTGTGACAGTGGATCCAAGTATGTCGTGTGTCTGACTCCCGAGGGAGATGAGGTGTTCACCTACCGCCCTACAGGAGACGCATACCCGTATCCACATGGTATCACAAGTACCAGCACAGGCGACATCCTGGTGACAGACTACCATCTGCACAGAGTCCTCCATCTGACTGAGTCAGGACAGTTTGTTAGAAACATACTGACAATGCTGGATGGTGTCCAGAATCCACATGGAGTGTGTGTTTGTGGGCGTGGTCGTGTGTACGCGTGTACACTAGATTCGGTGAAGGTATTTACATGTGAGTGAACATGTCACAATTCTCCTTTCAATAAACTATAGTCACGTTTTTGTTGGGTGATTTAAGTGTAGTGATATGTGTCATTGTGTATTTACCTGTAAGCACATTTCACCGTATTTGGTAAAATCACATTCTACGTTTGTGTTGAAGCTCTCATCTTAGCCTTACTATTTGAATGTGATGAATGAAGATTTAACTTGTGTACACATTCTCCGTGTACTGCTCCTACTGAGATCTATTCTGAGCATTGTCTAACATAATATATTATGAACTTCGAATTAAAGTGGATCAATTATTTCCGAATACTAGATCATCCGTATGATGTGTTTTTTCTGTTTGTAATCATAACGCGAGTGCAACATCGAGTTAATCCCTCGGTGTTATAACTAGAGGTGGTGTGAGCTATGGTGGTGTAGGATTGATATTTACATGACACTTATCCTTGCTTGCTATGCTGAGAACAATAAGCAGAAGATGGGACGAATGTAAGTAAAATATGAGCCTCAGTGTTCAACACAATCACCTGAAACTACTATTGTACATACATACATTAAATGTACTAATTGTTTTGGTAGCTTTACTGAACTGTTTCGCGTTATGAAACAGAACCGATTGCTCTCTCGTTCTTGCAGTGAGGACGTGTTACAGGTTAGAACTGAGATCTGTTTAGATATTTTGAATTCGGTCCATAAGTACATCCTACGTTCTGCAGCATTACACTGATGTAATAATTTAAGACTTAATTCTTACTTTAAGATAAGTACTAAGTATTAAATAGTTAATGGCTTGCTTTTCTTAAGAACTGAACACCTTTCCATCAACTGCACCAAACTGTTGACCACTCGTTATCCCAACCCTGTCCTGTTATAAATAAAAAATATATATAATTACATATTAAAAGATTTAAAATGACAACACTAACATTCTTGTACACCAAATTGTTTCATTTGAAAACATGAATCTATTATGTATCTTACATATATGAGCTTGAGAAATTTGATTTATCCAATATGGCGGACAAAATGGCCTCCCAATATGGCCGCCAATACAGGAAAATGATAATATTTCGTCTTCACGTCAATATGTGTGAAAACTTTAAATGTCAAAATTTAGGTTTCGACCAGGAAATCCATCTATCGTGTTATTGCCATATATAAGATAACTGTCGCCGATGTTATATACTATAATTGCTGATGATATTCACTTACTTTGAAGTGTCCATGTCGAGCACTTATTTGCAATTGCTTCAATCTTGTCCGTAACTCATTACATCAACAAATATTTTCCAATACAATAATCTAGTCACTGCCACTGCCACTGCCACTTATGCCTTCAGATTCATCATCATGTGTTCATTCTTGCAACCAGAGCAGGTGCAGTGTTCAGTACGTGGCAGTCCAGGCATGATGCAAGGACACTTTCTGGAGACGACGTATGATCTGTCACTGGTATACTATGAGTGATGTATCTGCAGCCAAATTGTCGTCTGAAACATGGCTCTCAACATGTGTTGCTAGAAAGCATATTCCGTAGGTGGGAACATTGTAGCTGCCAGTGTTGGAACCCTGGACATAGACTAGGTCATCAAGGGTGTTCAAAAGTAAATGTATAGAAGGAGGACGAATGCTCTACCAGAATTTAGAGACACTTCTAGGAGGTTCAATCCAAACTGACAATTTCTGCAAGATTTCAACATGTGTCAACTGTTGAGAAAGCTGTCTTCTTTGAAATTATAACCAGACATTACCATGAGAATATCACGTTTCACAATGTTCTTCTAGATCACAATTACCAGTATCCAACTGCCTGCCCCGTTTCACTTACAAACAAATAACAGAGAATACCCAGTCTCTATTGGTTCAGCTCAGTACAATTACGCTATTGAAGCTTAAGACCCAAGCAGTATGTCGTTAAGTGATACAAGAATGTGAGGTCACATAATTTTCATAAGATCTTATCATTACCTCAGCTAACATTTAGTCATCTAATATGATCTCTGTCTTCGTATTAGTCGTGGGCTCTCTCCACAAACCCACCCATCCTTCTCGTTAACCCTCTTAACCGTTTAAACAGTTTTCGTACTGGGTGTATCTTGCTCTGCGATGCTTACACTACAACATCAACACCAAGCAAGAGCTTGAACATGTCTGTTCAATTATGTACATTTCTACAAACCTTGCGAGACTCTTGCTTGTTGCTGTATTTATTCAGATAATCAAATATTTAATGTTTAAATGTGTTTCGATTGAACAACACACAACGGTTGACATTTCTCTTCTGACTCTTCTAGATTCTTGATGTAACGAGTGTTACGACAGTAGATATATGTAAACATACCTTGTGTTGACTCGCAAGCGGGATGGGGTAACTAATGAATGACACCAATAACTTTATTCAACACTTTTCGCGAACATGTTATGTTCAAAAGATGTTATTTCGGATTTTGAGCCCCTGACATGTGTTACATGTCATTAACGTGTTGAGGTAAAACACACAAAGACTTGTTCCTTTTAGGGACGTAAATCCAAAGCACGCTTAGAGGTAAGAATGTTTGAAACCTGTTTCATACCACATTTTTACAGTCTATAAATGACACGACCCTTAAAATTCTTATGAAATTCAGTATTGCAGCAGAACAAAATATTATATAAAAAGTTATAAAACGTCAACACCATAGAGAACAACCAGTCTCGATTATCTGCCAATACAGATTCTCCATTGGGCTTAGCAACGAAATAGCGGTGAAAATTATATGAATAGATCACTAAAATCAGAGAAAGAGGTAAGCATGACTGAGCTGGCGTCACCGGATGGATCTAGTTCGGTCGTAGGCATCGATCCATCTCCTCCAGACATGTTCTTTGGGGGAAATTGCAAATGCCATTAACAATGCTGGGATGTGTTCTCCCGTGAGTTGTGATGCCACCCAATACCATTACACCCCCAAGCGTTGCTAAAACGTTAAACGTTCTTCTGGACGCCTGTAGACCTTAGCACGACAATCAAGGCTGCCCCGATAAAACTTGGATCTGTGAACTGCATACTGTCCCAGTCTTGTCTAGGCGTGCCTGACAGTGACGTGGAAACAAAATTGTGCGTAACGCTGGGTTAACTGGTTGCGTACGGTTCTGCAACTAATTGATCCAAGCCGAGAATTGGCCAAGCTGTTAATGTAACTCTTTGGCATCGGTTCCGTAGATGCACCCCTCGTATACAGTTGTCTTGTTGACGTGAGGTAACTGGTGGACCTCTGGCCCGTGGCACGCTATGAGTGTTGCACTGCTGTAGAAAACGTCTCCAGAAACATGATATTGTGTTTCCTGTTATAGCCGTGGCATTCCGAAACCGTTATTTATAGTTAACCAAAAGTGTTTTCTTAGCACATGATAGCTGAACAATCATTTTGTGCTGTTCACATTAAACACCAGATACGGATCAGATAGTGGATCACATCTCAAAATGATGTCATTGTGGTTTGGTTCTATAGGGTATCATGGTATCCAAATGTGACCACCATAGTCCAGGACCGTCGTTTCATCGGTTTCGTCACGCACGACACGGACCCACCACAGCATCCGCCATGCCACGTTTGTGTTGGACTTCAGCCCGACGGTGAACCGCCTACGGGAGGCAGGTCAGACGGCCTGTTCTACGTGTCATCTAACTCAATTGCAGTGTCGCAGGAACAACCAAAGTCGTGTGCTTAATGATGTGTAATTTTTATTATCTCGACACACCTGTTGAAATACAACAACTTGAATGCAATACGGGTATTTCTCCGAACTGGTGTGTGCTAGGTCCCATGCACTACAGTGCGTAAAGAGGACTTGACCTGCCTCTTCAGCAATTGCAGGGATTGCTGTGCCAGCGCCCAGGGTGTTCCACCAGACCACAGGTGAGGTGGATGTGCAAACCAACATAAGATAACCTGCTAGGTAAGTATGGGGAAAGGTTAGTGACATATATCATAATTAATATAAAACAGGTTAGTGACAAATTTAGCTTGCGACCGCAGGTCATTTATGGTTCGCGCCACCGGACAAAAGTACCATGTGAAATTCTGCAGCCAGGCGTCACTCCCACTTTACTGAAGGCCAATGCATCCAGACAGACCGCACACATCAAGACTCACAATGGCACAAGTACAAAACAACAACATTATTGGTCCTGCCCTGTCGAAAGCCTGATTTGAAGGTTATCGAACATTTATAGGATGAGTGGGAAAGGCGGAAGAGACAGCGTTAACGACAACCGCAGACACTGCGACAGCGTTCACTGCCACCACAGCCCGATTGGGCAATCGTTCCCTCTGGTCTCATTCATACCCATGGGCAGACTATGTGTGGCAGTCAGAATCCATAGGTGGGCACCCACCATACTGACTGCAGATGACTTTGACCTTTTACATTCCATGTCTACACCAGCAATAGGGGTCAAATGTGGTAGCGTGTATCATATCTTAATATACAGCTGCTCTCTGATGACCAATTAAATGCACCCTTCAAATATCACAAGAATGCGGGTTTTTTTTAGTTTATATAACGTAAATTGAGTCCTCATTTTTAGAAAAGAATATACACAGCGTTTTGCTAACGTTTATAAAACGTATGTCGTTTGATATTGTAGACTGATGGTTCAACGTGGATACAGTTTTTAAACGATAGTCCTGCAGACTCCGACTACAAAGTAATGCGAAATACAGATAGTGATGTGAGCACATGCATCATACATGTCATAAGGAACGTGGCATTTGATACTAGAGGTTAGAACTGAGATATGTTTATGTGAGTTTATACACTGTTTTACTCAGCGAAATGGTGCCCTGTGTTGAAATGGAACATCGACGTGTACCATACATATGGGTGTCTACTGTGTTATTTTTTCAGTCCGATAATAAACAGAAAGTTGTCCTTCATCGCCTCCATCGTCTTCCTCCTCCCATGTCGCACTCTGGTGCCTGGCCAACTAGAGCTTGGCTTCATGGCTGATTTCACACGCTGAAACACATTTGCAGCAGGTAAGAGATAATGAAACATTGAAGGATGAAATGGGAATAAAGTTCAATATATGAAATTGAGAAACATCAGGAAAAGTGACTATCCTACGCATGTATTTATGAAACACTTTAAACTTGTTATGATATCAGATGTTCGTGAAAAGGTGACCAGAGCGTATCCAGCCTGACCGGCGGCTTGTAATGTAAATTCCATATGCTTCCTTGGCTCTGAAGGGAGTGAGTGAGTATGGTTTTACGCCGCTTTTGGCAATATTCCAGTAACATCACGGCGGGGGACACCAAAAATGAAATCTTCGGTGTGACGAGCGAACGCTTTAACCACTAGGCTACCCGACCGCCCCCTTAGCTCTGAAACTCGTAGAACCATTACTTATATATGTAAGAAGATAACGTTCATCATAATGACAATCTGTCAGTCCAAGAGCGGTTTATATATTTTACATATTTCTTTATGAACCAGTTGATATTCAAATTACTGAAATGACAAAACTGATAATAAAGCAAACAAGCGTAATTTTCAAGTGAGACGTTTGAAAAAACAAATTCATGATGTTAGCAAAAATTCTTTAAAACAATAATTTGTCCTGTGACTCAACCATACAAAATTAATCGGTCACTGGTCATGCAGGATGCTTTGAAAAGAAATGCGTTGTGGGATCCAAAACTGGTTTGGCTTTCCTTTCCAGAGATACAACCCCGATTTTTGTGGTCAATATCAACCCGATACCATATTCTGTCATGAACAAACATCCCTTTTTTATATCCTACATCCCTTTGTTGTTAAACTCCGCAATATCCACAGCAACATGGCGGTGGTCTCTAAATAATCGAGTCTGGACCAGACTCTATAATGATTGATATCATGAGCATCGATCTAGGCAATTGGGGTACGATGACATGCTTCATCGTCTTCACTAAGACTACCCGATCCCGTTAGTCGCTTTTAACCAATACTAACCCGGTTGCCCACCCGGTTGCCCCAGGTAAGTTATCAAATTACTGGCCTCTTGAGGTGATCCCTAAGAGATCATCATTGCAAATCTAATTTGACTGTTTGCATTGAGTACGAAGAGTTTGACTCCAGAGGTAGAATTAATCAACTGAGCAAATCACGAAATACCCACTGTTTGCTGTTTTAAACTTTGTGACAATTTTCATTCAACATCTAAACTTCCAAGTGTGTCAAGGGTTGACACATACCTGACTCAGGGATCCTTCCTTCATGAGTACTTGTATCACCATGGTAACTGGGATAGGAACGATGGTCACCAGAGCAATAAACCAGCCGACGACAACAGCGACCTTGGGGTAGTCATACTCGCCATATGTTGGCGGCTTGTAGGAAGCCAGAGTCGAAACCAAAGCAACCTGAAAGGATGTTTTGTTTGTATATTGTTTAACGCCGCACTCAGCAATATTCCAGCTATATGACGGCGGTCTGTGAAAAATCGACTCTGAACCAGACGATCCAGTTATTGACATCATATGCATCGATCCACGCATTTGGGATACGATGACATGCATCAACCAAGTCAGCGAGCCTGACCACTCGATCCCTTTAGTCGCCTCTTACGACAAGCAAAGTCGCCTTTTACGGCAAGCATGGGTTGCTGAAGACCTATTCTATCCCGCATCTTCACGGGTCCTTGAAGGATGTGGTCAGTTCATGATGACTGCCTTGATCATGAAATTGTCACACAGATAAATCAACACAACATGTGTCTGCAAGTACTGTCGAATACAGAAGCAGCCCCTTCGCCAACACCTCCATTCAACATCTTAACAAACCTGCAAATAAGAGCCACAAAACCCTTTCTATATTCATCACAAATATCTGATGAATACGATACCGACTATATCATGAGCACGTGTTTATGAACCATTATCAAATAGTGATGTACCAAGTAAATTGTACACCTGTAAAAACATTGAAACACATGATACAAGTAGAAATAGGGAATTGTATCATTTTTGTCACTTATGCGTCAAATTTGTCTACCCTAAAAAAATTGGAAACCGTTACTGAGGCCTTGAATGTTGTAACCTTGATCAGACAACTTACATGCAAGAGTCGTATGACAAAATACAAATCAAAGGATTGTACCAGTAAATGTGCAAAAGTAACTGGCAATACATGATACAGTTTTAATATTATTTTCTTCATTGAGTGGCCAAGACCTTGCCTTTCTTATGTCACGAAGTGCTGAAAGAAATAACCCTAGTTCATAAAAACCATAAAGGTTCCTCAATGTCAAAAACCTTTGCATATTAGACATGAGCCAAATTCGCTCAAAACCTTCAGTTTATTCTGATTCAGTATATTTGTGTGACTAGATGACAAATCCAACCTTTGGAAGAGGAATGTGTACATTCGTTGCCTACAGTTGTTATTGAGATATTAATGTCCTCCAACACCTACAGTTAACACAACTGGGAGGATGGTGAAGCACACTATCTTGTAGACTACAGGCAGGCGTTTCCCGATCATGGCCTCCACGTCAGATGAGAAACGTTCAGCACCTGTCAACATGCACAGGGATAAAGCGTCAACAACATATGATAATAATAATACAGAAACTGCGAGAAATGTATCTGTGTTCATTTATCATGCTTTGAAACTAAGAAAATGTATGAATTTGTAACACGCTCCAGACGATGTACAATCAGGACATAGCAATGCACGTGCCAGTACCATACCACTACTACTACTACTACTACTATTAATAATAATAATAATACTGCTACTACTACTGCTGCTGCTACTGCTGCTACTACTACTACTATTACTACCACTACTACTACCACTACTACTACTACCACTACTACTACCACTACTCCTATTAAACGGGAGGCACGAGTGGCCCGGTCGTCTAAGACGCCGCGATTCGCTGTGCAGTGTTGTGTCCCTTGGGCACGCCAGAAACCTATGATTGTGGGTTCGAATCCCGGTTCGCACCGATTATGTTTCTAGGTTTGTCAGCACCATATCCGTGCTCGTGGGTTTCACCGAAGTGGTAAACGTATGAGACCTGCATGACTTCGGGCATTCCTCTCACATTAAGCTGACACGCAACTTCCTTGAAACCGACTGGTGCATTTTGAGGTGCCAGCGTCACAGTGGCAGCAGATCATATATTGCACTAAACAGCTTAACACTGAGCTTGACGAGTGAACATACATGACAAAGGTTGTGTAAATAATTTGATTTTAAAATACCGTAACACCAGCCAACAATCACACATTCAAGAATGGCCATGACGAAACAGGCCATTGTTCCCATGTACCAGTCGACCAGCTGGAACACGTAGACTCCACCCTGGAATATGTGCAAAGTCATCTAAACTTCCCTTTATTTTTGGGCGACAGTATTATTAAATATATACACATATCATCACGCCAAAGTTTTCCAAAAATCATTCATTTATATATAACTCGAATTTTCTGAAAGCTACCAGATGGACTATTGTACAATACAGTTTTGCTTATGGGCAATTTCAGGAACTGTTATAAAAAACTCACCTGTTTCCATTATAGAAACATAAATATGAATATGAATATTTCGTTTCAAGATATTTAATGTAAATTTAGCCATTTATCTCCAGAACAAAGCGGACGTTTTGTCTTTATAAATGCCCAATGTATGCACTGGTACTGTTTGATAAGAGAAAGCTTACGTTGGTGGTAAAAACAAGGCCAGCAAGGAACATGGCCCCCATGAAGACAGCAGCGATGACAGGTCTGATGTGATACCGCCGTGGCAGAATGTCTTCTATGCAATCAATAGCTGTTTCGACGTTTCCAGCCTGTTGAAAGACACATCTCCTTTCGGTTCAGTGCAAGCAATAATAACACATTGGGGAGTTCAAATGAACTGTATTCAACTTAGCAATGAAACGTGTGCTTATTTAGTTTTAAAAAAAACATATCCTTGCTGTTTTACAGAGATATGAATATGTGAGTGAATTGTGAATAATGTTAACGCAAATCTCAGCAATATTCCAGCCACAACAGCAACATCAAGTAAATGATCGAGCCTCGTCCCAGTTAACCAGGGACTGAGGGCATAACTATCGACCCACATCATCAAGGCACGAGAGCAACCACATAGCCTGACCACTCACTTAGTCGGTTCCTACGACAAGCACGAGGTAGTGGGGACCAATAAAGCTAAAGAGGGAAATGACTATGTATTGCTTTATCAGAGTTAGCCTATCATATATTACTGTGGTTTGTTACCACTGAGTCGACGGACATCATCAGCATTGTAGTGAAGAACAGGACAGACCACAGCTGAGGTAGTGGCAGTAGTGCAACTGCTTCTGGGTAGATGATGAAGGCAATGCCAGGACCTGCATGAACAGCATACGTGATGCCAAAGACATGTAAGCGGTGTACTGGACATTCAAACTACAACACAAACCGCGAATAAAAACAACAGGGAAACCTTCACGAACATGTCTCTTAACATAATTATAATTAAATCCCTGTAATGACATTTTGATCCTGATGGAATGTATTCATTAACCAGGTTTGTTGAGCTGGTGCTTGTTGGAACAGTTCCTTCAAGGCATCAGTAAGATATTGTATTCAACCCTAAATGTGATTGGTAGTCTTCACAATCATGTCTCCAACAACCCTCATCATAAGGAGGAGAATATATGGATGTCAACTTCTTTATTATGAAGAACACAACGTTTCGGTGTATATATCAGGTGATGAAGGAGTAAGCATTTACTCCGAAACGTTGTGTTCCTCATAATAAAGAAGTTGACTTCCATATATTCTCTTCCTTATGTGAATCACGTCTAAATGCCTTTCAAAGAGCTGATAGCTTCATGATGAATCAATGTCATGACCTGTTTCGTACACTGTGAGTAACATTATTCAAAGCTATTATTCAGAGTATTACGATTTTGTCAATATACCAGGCTTATTCACCTGGAGTGATGACGTCAGCTACAGGTAGTTGTAGATCATGAGCCAGGAACCCAACTGTCGCGAAGACCACAAAGCCAGCAAATACACTCGTCAATTCGCCAATCACCGTCACGATGATAGGGTCCCTGTATTTTGAAAACTTTCTTAATTTCGTTGCATGTTTTATCACGACATGCATTACATCTATAATGATGGTATGCCCCCAGTGAAGGGAACACTTGATGATCTTGAGTGACCAAGGTTAGGATTCCATAGCAGCAATGGTCGGCAATACCCCATGGCTGTAACTAAAAGTGGCAAAGAATGGTTTGATGGTTTAACTGTGTGACCTGGCTGAATGTATGGCATCATACTTTGAAGGACGATCGTTGCTCATGGTGACAACCAAATATTTGATCAAAATTTGTATAAGATTTGTTGGCCAATTGTGGCTGATGACAAAACAATGATCATTGAATCTTTATCTTTGTGAAAAAAGGAAAGGTCACTTTTGTTTTGTTTTTACAACGTACCATGAGCTCAAAATTTGTGATGTGTAACAGTGTGATGTTAAATGCCATGATCCTTTGTCATACTGATGATTATTTTAATATATTCTCCTTCACTGAAATCTGGGGCACGGGTGGCCTAATCGTCTGACGTGGAGCAATTTATTGTGCAGGCTTGCGTCCTTTAACCATGACATGAGTTCCAAATTCCATATTTGTTCTACAACTTTGCTCGTGTGTTTCACTTCGTTGGTCACTATGTGCCTGTACGTTTCATCTCACATGTCCTGCATCATACAAAGTGAGAAGGAAATGTACCTGATAACATTTGCATGAAAACAATTGTGTCCTGCCATGGCAATAATGACACCCCAGGTTGTACCAACTGAGAAGAACACTTGAACCAGAGCTTCAAGCCACACCTGAAGAAACAGAAAGAAAGTAGAATAAGAACTGACGTATATGATTGGATTCGAACCACGGACCTTCTGATCCGAGGTCGGACGCCTTGTCCACATGACCAAAGAGGTTAACCCCTGTTATCAAGCTGACAAGGTACAAGTGGGTCATCTGTGGGATGACCCCACGCCCTGCTACATACTTTCCCGTCAACAGAAGGCCGCATAGTGTGGCACTGAGACGTATTTTGCCCACGTCAGGCTGGGCCAATTTAGTGGCCATAAACTTCCGGTGATGGGGTTCGAAAAACGGACTTTCTGATCCGACGTCGGAAGCCTTGTCCACATTCTACTTCCAAGTATCCGTGATTGCCTGTTAGTAGTGAATGTTTTCAACCATTTCCACAAACAGATTATATCTAAAATGCCTCAACCACACTAAACAGTGGTTAAGCATTAATTTATGCCAGGAAATTCCACATGACTATTGACCTCATTCGATGTTATTTACTTCACTTTAGCATGCACTTTCTGTATATCTGTCAGAGAAATAGTAAAACAAATGCTTTCAAATATTTAAATTGAAAGATTGATCTAACATTTCATGAAACAAATGAAAGCATGCATCGTAGAATCGTGACCTCCGCACACCTGAGGATGCTGAAGGAGGGTGAAATCTGGAGTGAGATAGAAGAGAATCCCATCCACAGCACCCGGCATCATGCACGACCTCACCAGCAACACCAGCAGTAGGACGTATGGCATCAACGCTGTTACATACAACACCTGTTGGCAGTTACAAATAAAGACATATCATGATGAGTGCTTGATCGGACAAATGACTGATAAGCTGCATACCTGAACTACAAAGATTTAGACAGTGACATTGGTAAAGACGGTTGATAAAAAATTAACATACATGAGTGATGCAAGGAAAGATGCAGTCGATTCTACATTTCACTATACATATTTATGTTCCAAAGTCACATTTACTTCACGAAAAAGGTAGGGGTCATCAGTATTTGGAGGAATACGTTTTTTAAAGTGAAGAGCACAAAATTTCATTACAAAAATGTCCCAAAACATATTCATGATCCCTGACTTTTGTTGTTCAGAATATCCAAATAGACAGTAAATCCAAATCAAACTAAAACTTCAAGCTGTTACCATGTGCTGTCATCAAGATTAATGTTAAGCCGGTATACACTGTGCCCAAATACCAGATAATGGTTCTTCAAAGATGGAAGACTAATGATCACAAACTGGCAGAGTGAGTATGTTCACCGTTAAAATGTAACATACAAGATAAAGGGGCATATCTGTCGAGCCTCGTATACCACATTTCACTTGAATAAAATATCTGCCTTATTCGAGCAAATTGTTTACCCAATACAACAGACATGGTCCTATTCATGGTTGGATCGTCATCACTGCTGAAAAAGGACTGAATTTCTAGAATATTTATGCATTTAGAGAGCAGACGTTTACAAAGATGCTGCTGACAATCTGGTAACAAGGAAGACCAGTTAAAACATTTGTTTCCAAATTAATTGGATTTTGTTTTGAAAATAATAGTCCATGCGTATGACACAAAAGACAATCACAAACTGTACAACATGTGTTGTTACCTTCCCGAACGATTTGATTCCCTTTACGATACAAAGGAATATGGCAACACACGTGATTAACCAGCAGATGACGAGATGAGCTTGCATGGAGCCGAGGTCTTCTATCCCTGACGAAACACCTAGAGCTTTATACCTGGAGAATAATGACACATACATCATTGTCTGGATAACTGTGCTGTTGAAATGCTTTATCATTGAATATTCAAACGTCAAATTGGAAAGGAATTACAACAATATGAATGACGTATAACAGAATTATACTAATTCAGAAGAACAAACACAACAAATAAAATATATCAAGAATTCAAAAGATGTGCTGGATAAATAATTCCACCTCCACACATACATAAAAGGAAAAGGTGATGACATAAGTTGTTTCCCACAATTACAGACTGATTCTGCCGACCCAAAATTAAACAAAAGCTGAACAAAGCATTTCACAACAACCATAGAGTCTGTCAAACTCTATTAATGCAGATTCGTGGATGCACGCTGTCACAATAACTTAAATGAATGCATTACTGTACTGTAAGTTACAACTTTGAATATTGCCATTTCTACTTTATTAGATCAAAAGACCAACCTTAAGTGACTGTATTTCAAGTAATGTGAAAGAAAGCACAGCTGTAGACGTTACCAGTTTTGACAACCACGAGCACAGATATTGGGGATAAGGTGTATTCGTATATATTATTCAGTGGATCAACCGGTGGACGCAGCTTAGCACAGCGAAACACGTCGCCTTCGACCACTGTGCTGTCCAGTCCTGATTTGAGTGATGTCAACGCCTTTTTTGTAAAAACGCATGATGTTCTTATTCATGTTCTTATTCATTCAGATTAATTGTCGAAGACTTTCAACTGATGGAGGATTAAGTGCATTCCCAGAAAGATGTGTTCATAGTCTAATTATCCTGTTTGCATTCTGGTCGCATTCATGATGCTGTAAACGCTACCTACTGAGAATCGGTTGGTAACAATGTGTTACAAGGCAGGTTGTATATTATGGTATCCCGACTGCCTGGACACATGCTCATGCAGTCAGCATATTTTGTAACCTGGGCCCTAAGATGATTGTAACGTCCAAACTTTAACATAGGTTTACGGTAGTCTTAGCGCTATGATTGCTTTGTGCAAGTGGGCCCTGGTCCAGACTCGATACCTTATGTGATATAGCTGCAATATTTCTATGCGCGGCATTAAACAAACATTATTTCACTCACTCGTTTCTTAACGCTTTAATCATTTCAGTACAAAAAGGAATATTTGCGCTCCATTGTACGATTCCGACTAAATCATAAGCCTGATTTGACGAATCACTAACTTAAAACATGGTCAGTATTTAGTGAGTATCAGCTCCCTTTCTGCCTGAATGTGTGTATTATAATATAGGGCAAGCATTGCATGAACATGGATTCATGTCCTGCCTGAATGTACATAATATTGTAAATATACTCACTGAAAAAACTGTTCAGTTGAGGTATGATCAAACGCATTTGATACCCTTTCGGTTGTGTTAATATTCTTATAACCAATTCCGTCATGTCGATATTCTGTAGTGTTGATGGCTTGAACAGGTTTTAACTGTGCATACATGGAGCTGTTTCGTCGTGTGTCTCCTACAGCAATACATCGCGGTGTGTTCCATGAGTTGCCACAGGTTGTCCAGGGCAGGACTGTGGAGAAGGAGTTGTAGATGTAGTAGAGGGTCCAGGCAAACACCACGCCGTAGCAGGGGATGACCATGCACGAAATTGACAGGATGCAGGCGCCAATACCTAGAAATGTGGAATGTGAAACTGTAACGTAAAATATCACAGACGGATTGTTGAGTTGATCAGTGATATACTGTCCCATGATGCATGACACTTCTTATGGATAACAACTTACGACGCTTCAGTGCTACCTCTTGGCCCTTCATCAGGAAATAACTATTAAACATCGTTACAAGGAATACAAGAATTTCTTATCCACAAAAGGTGTCATGTATTCATGTTCTTCCAACTTCTAACTTCCAACTACCTTTCAAAGACTTCTTTGTCCATTAATACCTTGGTTCAGAAGTTGCCCAGATGATTTTCCTGAATAATGCAATTTTTGAGAATATCAATAATTTATTCTTAACATATTACACAAATTAGGTAAATCAGGAAGTTAATGTTTCCGAACTTGACCACGTTTCAAATAAGAGCACACGCTCTTGGACTAAAATGACCACAACGTCGTTTCTTCTAGATGCTATTCAACGCTTCATTTTGTCCTAGAATTATTGGCGCTTTATAAATAGGTTAAACATTGTCAAAGAAGAAGACAAATCGTCCAGACGCACGCTTACAACTTTCAGACTGACATTAGGGGCCGACTATTTGATAGTCTGCGAGAGGTTGGAGGATCTGTTCCAGTAAATTCCGGAAAGAAAACAACGTGTCTCCCCACCGCTCCAGATTGTTTAGTTGTGTCTTGAAGCAGTAACTGAATCGCAATTTGCCCAAAACAAAACTCCAGCACCAGAATATTGATACCTTGTCACTTGTCACACTTGTTCTGTCAGATGACAGCAGATTTCCTACATGGGGAGGGTAATGAAAAAAGCCTGATTTGTAGAGAGAAACATGTGCATTTTGCGTAATATAGTCCTAAGGATACTGCTCACTCGTTTCAATGAATATTTATGAGAAGCAAACAATTGACTCGTATGTATGCATATGCTCTAGATTGTGATTTCATCAGTTTTCGACGTTTCCTTTGAATACATAGTTGCATTTCGGAGAATAATACATCAAATACATTACTCTTTTCATACCGTTTAGTAGCTACATAAATTTTGTATATTATGTATCGGAATCGCCTTTTCTCGTTCTCGTGTCAGAAAGGTTTCTAAATGTGTTTCGTGCGTGTGGTTATCGCTATATCCCATAAATCATAACACTATAAAAAAGTACATATGAAACAGAAAGTGTAATACCGCCATACACCAAGGCCGTTTGGATTTGAATGCACGGTTGCAGCAATTCAGTGTGAAGAGTTGCGTCCCTTAGATGCGCCAGAAACCTATGATCGTGGGTTCGAATCGCAGATTCACTCTGATTATGTTTCTAGGTTTCTTAGCACCATGTTTGTGGGTCATAAACAAGTTGTAATATATTTCCGTTCTGGGGCCAGATCTTACATTAGTAGTCACAAAAGCCTTATCCAAGATGTAGGAGTGTCATTACCTTTCATGAGCGGACATATTGCCCAAACCTTGATGGGGCCTTTGCCAGAAAACTGACCGATGGCAACCTCCAGGATGAAGAGAGGGATAGCTATCAGTGTAGTAGAGATGACATAAGGAATCAGGAACGCTCCTGTGTAGAAATAGGGATACAAAAGCTTACAAAAAATTAATAAATTGCCATATTTAATTTGTAATTGAGGTGAGAGAAGCATCACGGACATATCCATGTTAAAAGCTGTGATATAACAGCTGGTTAAATATTAAGTGAGTCTCATGTTACGATAGCTTGCATTCTACATATTACATTCAGATGGAATACAAACATGGAATGCTTATGATATGGCTATCATGATGTTTATGATCGAACGAGTAGGTTTTTACGCCGTTTAAGCATGCCTCCAGCACCACGGCGAAGGGACAAAAGAAATCTGAACTAGTGGTAGCTTTATGATAAACTTATGTAGCGCACATGGGAAACTGCATATGATGCAGCCATCACTTGAAAGGAACAATCCAAATGATGACCTGATACCTACCACCTCCATTCTTTTGACAAACATACGGGAACCTCAACAGGTTGCCAAGTCCCACTGAGAAGCCAAGAACAGCAATGATCGACTGGAATCTGTTTGACCATTGAGGTTTCGTCACATTCCCGTTTTCGAGATTTGGATTTGTGTTTTCTGCCTGTAAAGATATTGCATTGGGACATCTTACTGAAGTTTGTTAGAATGAGTATGGTTTTAGCTGCTTTCAACAATATTCTAGCCACATCTCAGCGGGGACACCTAAAATGTAGCTATTACCTCATGTAAGGAATCGAACTCGGGCTATACTCATGACGAGCAAACGCTTGATCAGAGACGGGTCTGTGTGTACAGCTAGACTATTTCACATTGGAAAAAGTTTTTAATATCTTGTACCAAGCATTGTATGTTGAACATGATGCTATACCTCGCAGTTAGTTTTATCATATGTTTCATTTTCAATTGAAAATACCTTGAGTATTAAAACAATGAACTGTACTGGCGCTTAGTCAGTACTCAACCATACTTTTCTTCTTTCAAAATATAATTTAATTTAAAACTTTCAAAATTAAAAAAGATAATAATTTCGCATAATACACAACTGCTGATGGGTATCCTAGATATCTTATCTTTAAACAGAACTAATTTGTGCTTATTTCAGCACAAATGTACATTTCAAACATGACAGAGGTCATGTGGTTTCAACTTCATTTCCTACCACAGTGATTCATTGGGCCAATTTATTTTTACACAATATTACCATAGATTACTTTTTACATAATCAAATTTAACAACAGTTCTTTCAATTTCCAATGACATAAAAAAACTGGGCATATTCTATTGTGCCCCTCAGTCTATATATCTATAGAACCACGAACGCCTAACGTGACCACGTTATACAAAGTATGCAACATGATCTGCACTGCAGAAAGTAAGTAGCATCTTACTGTGTCACTGTAGACAACGGTGGACAAACTCGTCTCTTCCGTTTCAATGTCCATACCTCTTGCGAAAGGGTCATCTACAGACAAAGACGGACATCATAATACTTAATACTTATCTCTGTAGGCAAAATATGGTTGGTGAAACATAAATTTGCTTTTGTTTATAGGCGTTTGTGAGTAATATGATAGCCTAAGTATTATGTATAAATTATTATGTAATGTTCAGTATCTCGGCGAAGGTACTGAATAGATGTCCTGAATCAATACATTCCCTTTCAGTTAGCACTGTTCGCAAGACGGAAATAGGATGCACTATTGATTTTCCGTATCAGTATACATGCAAACCAACTGAGCTGAGCATAATTCATATGACTTGATACTGTCGTGACACCGACTATTTCAATATTATATGTACCTTGGGTAATCTACAGATGGTTGAGTTATGCTACATGGATTCAAAGATTATTGAAACAATAAACTACGTTTATAACGAACATGCTTATAACGGATATAACGAATTGTTTTTGGTCCCTTCCATTTGCTGTATATATGCTGTAAATATGCTTATAACGAACTACGGTTATAACGAACTAAATTTAGTGGTCCCTTTGAGTTCGTTATAACTGTAGTTTACTGTAGTTAGTAACCATTAGACAATAACCCATGTAAGTTACACATTCTTAAATACACCGCCTGGGAGGAAAGGAAACCCACATACCCAGTTTGTAAACCCGAACACTCGACTTCTATCGCCAGTTGAAACACCAAAGTGAATACGTCAGGTGTGAATTACCTCCCCTCTCTGTTGCACACGACAAACAAACTGAAACTTGAAAAAAATCTTCATAAAGATCAAACACAATTTAGTATTCCACTGTTCAATTCATTCTTACCTTGTCAGGAAAGGTGACATGACTACCTTGCTAACCATGCGTTCACTGAGGCCATTGTGATATTGCTATTGATCAACTTGAACCATGAACAACTTGAAAAAGACTAACGCAGGTTTTGAAATGCTGTCCATAATATTACACAACTGACACCTTTCGCATTTGCCAAATAGTTTCCAACAACTTTTGGAGACAAACGTCAAATCAAAATCCATGTCTATTTCATAACGATCAAGCTGCTTCACAGCTTGTGCATAATTATTACAAGCTGGTATACATATTCTATTTGTCATTCGAGCCGCGTGTATCAGACGTCGCACGAAGGAACGGTATTTTCCCAAAGTAATAATGCCTGGTAATGAACGCGTAATCTGAGTAACTTCTTTTTGTGACATTTAGAAGCTGCAATGAAGAACAGGGGATTTAGTTCCATGGATATGTAACTTCTTTTTTACAATGACTGCGACGTAGATACCAACACAGTTATCAAGCAAGTGATTTGATGTCTCAGTCATTGTTTAACTAAGTTGTGTATCTCTCTTGTGTAATCTGAGGTCCATATGACAAAGCTTGAAATATATGTATAATTTGACAGCCAAGTATACACACATTTACACGGGTCTAAAATTAAACCACAATTCAAGTAGCATGCATATAAATTACGAAAGGGGGCACGGGTGGCCCGGTCGTCTGAGGCGCCGCGATTCGCTGTGCAGGGTTGTGTCACTTGGGCACGCAAGAAGCCTATGATTGTGGGTTCGAATCCCTGTTCGCCCCGATTATGTTTCTAGGTTTGTCAGCACCATACCCGTGCTCGTGGGTTTCACCGAAGTGGTAAACGTCTGAAACCTGCATCACTTCGGGCTTCCTCCCACATTAAGCTGACACGCCGCGATATAACTGGAATACTGTTAAAAGCTGCGTTAAACCAAACTCACTCACTCATAAATTACGAAAGTATGTAAATAAGATAATTCGTTTCATGTTTTTGTTATACAGCGTGCATTAATAGTTATTCGCTCCTAAAATGCATTGACATAAGTAGCATTTGAAGATTGCAATTATTATATTAAAATTTAATATAGTATACATTCACGAGATGAGGTCTTTAATAACACATGTCAGTGCATCGACCAATACCACATGTGGTTGTGTCTTTTGTGTACGGTGGATATTTGTCAACCCGAATTTTATTGAGGCATAACATTTAATTGCTATCAGTTTTAGGAGTGGCTTGGAGGTAGAAAAGTGTTTTGCGCTTCCTTTTTTCAATGTTGTTTACGTAAAATTTAATTCCTGTCGCATGTAGATATTATTATCTAATATTCTTGCTTCCCTCATCATAGAAAAACAACATTTTTTCCAAATTCTTCATTATAACTGCGCACTCGGTTCGAATAACAGCTCGATATCGCATGAAATATGAATGTCACTTATTTGTCAGCTTCGCCGCTGAGTTAAACAAGAAGAAGGTGGCCGGAAATCACGGCGCTACACGGGCTTGAACTCAGCAAACGTTTCGTCCTGCATATCTCGTTCGCCTTCATCGAGGATTTTGTTCAAAGTAACTTTAACTGGGTAGTTGAACAAAGGATTCAAACATCACAGTGAGGGGTTCATCAATAACCTTAAAAGGGCTTATGTTGTGATTATACTCTCACTTACAATGACCAGTTTGCCAGGTTATCTTGACATGTACCGTTATATGATGGGTCTCTTATATGAATGAATTGGCAGACAGAGGGTCTAATATTCAGCGCTCCAAATGTGTAAGCAATATATTTAATTTCCTTTACTTTAGTATTTTGGTGGACACTACGGTTTTCTATGATTAAATATGATTATTCAATATACCATATAAATATAACTTATATTGAAACAATCATGAAGACAAAAAGAATTTCGTATTGGTATTTAAATAACCCACGGATATGCACAATCCGTTAATGAAACAAACATTCAGTTTCAAATGTTATGGTAAGTTTGCAATTAAAATTCAAATAAATGTAAAATCTGATGAATTATTTTTAAAAAACACGTCAGTCTGTTGCAGACTGGTGTATCATATATATCTTTGTATAATTATTTGAAAAACACGTCAGTTTGTTGCAGACCTATGCTATTTGTCTACATGGTAATTATTCTACTTCCAGCATTGTGCGATCATTTCCCACATGCATGTCGACTGATCCTATCAATGTGAACTGAATAAAATATAAATGAACAAATAAGATTATTTTTTTTCTCTGAGATGTTCTCTGTGTCTGACCCAGCTGACAAGTAATGTCCATAATTATTAACGAGTGCACATTAGAATCAAAACGCTATACAAGCAACTGTCCACAGTTGCCAAGTTCTGCAATAGAAAAGGCAGAATCCATAACAGAAAATTAGTTTGTTTCTACTCGCCCAATCAGCCTCTCAACATGAATGCTATGGCTTGTGTTTCTCCTATTTCCTCATCTGAAAATTGACCACAGTAACCAGGGAAGGGGATTTCTGAGACTAACTCTCTTTTCACGCATAGTAGTAGCAATAGTAAAGCCTTTGTCTGCCACCACACTATCACCAGGGTGAACAAGATCAAGAATACCTGACAACTTTGTAATCTCAACATCAAAGATAACACATGTAAACAAACTTGATACAAATGTCACAGCACCATGAGGGACTATCCCAATTTGGCCTTTGGGTGTGCAGCTTGGTTTGTACTGAGAATAAAACATAGACTTTATTGATAACGATCAAATAGTTATAATGCCAGGTGTTCACGAAACGAAACGGAACCCGTCAAAAGCATATGCAAGGGCAAGTCAAGTTCAATTGCAAAAACACGGGAACATGGGGTGCAATTAAAAATAGGGAATGTTTGTCACTGAAGCGTCAAATTTGGAAATGTTCCCTACATGTCCACACCATAAAATCTTTTGGAAACCTTTTCTGTGGCCTTAAATGTTGTTACCCTGATCAAACAACCTGTCAGTCGCTCAACATTGAGGTGATCAATCAAGAATTGGTTCGCTCGGAGTCAGTTTCTATGTGTCTGAGTGGGGGTAGTTGATGAAAGTTGAGAGACGTCCAGACCTAGGGACATCATCATGGCTTGTTCTCCCAGCCTTAAACATAGCTGCCTAACATTTAACAGTGGAACAGCAAGGGCACTTTCCCCATACACTTGTGAGTGAGCGAGTGAGTATGACTTTACGCCGCTTTTAGCAATAGTCGAGCAATATCACGGTGGCGGACACCAGAAATGGGCCTTCACACTTTGTTCCCATGCGTGGAATCGAACCCTGGTCTTCGGCGTGACGACCGAACGCTTTTACCACTAGGCTACCCCACCAGCCCCACACACTTGTGACATGCGGTTTGTAATTTCTTGGTGAGTTCTTTTCTCTAAGTAAAAAACTTGATGACTGCTTTCTACTCGTTCGTTTCTTTCTTTTTGTGTCCATTTGGACCCCTATCACGTTAAACTGGCTGTCACTAATATACAAACTGCCTCAACAGACCAAATAGGACGATGGAAATAGTTGAGTGGGAGTTATATCTTGAAGTTTAATATTAGACGCAGAAATCGCCGATTTGATTCTGATTCCGATCGGTGGAACAAGAAATGATTCCTTCTTGTAAATATCTTCGCAGAGAGGATAAAAAGCTGGATTTGACTTAGTAGAATATTATTTGGTGATGTATTGTATGGATTCTTTCAGACGGTGTTGTTTCAGGGATGGCTCATCCGCCTCCACGTACAGAATATGAATAGGAGAAGTCCCAAAGGCTCAAATGCAAGTGGTCTAAGGCACTGCAATTCGCTGTTCAGAATTACGTCCATTGGGCACGCAAGAAACCTATGATTGTGGGTTCGAATCCCGGTTCGCCCCAAATTATGTTTCTAGGTTTGTCAGCACCTTTGAAACCTTTGACAGACTATTGATGTTAATATTGAATAAGTTGAATATACAATACTGCCCTATTGGACACCCTGATCCTGATTAAAATGGTCAGACAGGGTGGAACCCACTCAGGCTTGAAATTGTCTGTCTGCTAAAAACTGTGATATAACGACCCCTAAAGCCAAAATCATGTGAATCCATGAAAAAGCCATGCTTCCAGGTAGTATCTTAGGCTTTCCCAAGATCGAAAAATATTGACACTAAGTGTTGTTTGAAGACAAAAGCATTTTCACAAAGGATTCTTATCGTACTAAATGATCAATAGTACTTCTATGTTTATGGAAACAACATTAAATATATGTAATAAGATTATTGGTTCCCAAATAACAAACTTGTCTATTATTCACCATTCGTTCCATGGCGGTACTTTGTTGAATCTGTATGATCCTGGCCAGGTTTGGGTATTGGGACTACAATGGCATTTTGCCACAAAGGAGGAAAATTCCCTGAAGTCCATATGTGGACAAATATATTTAAAGACTAAAGATAATGATTCAGACAAATGCTTCAATACATCATCACCTGATGCAGTATCATGAGCTTTCTCAAGACCGGTTTATATAGTTCATACAATGAAAAAACTTCATTATAATCTTCATCGTTATTAGATGCAAAACTTACTTTTTGTCTTTTCCTGTTGATTCTGATATCTCTGAAACACAGTGACATTATGATGAAGAATTTTTGGCAAGAGTGTCACCAATTTTATTTGCTATGTCAGATTTATCGGATATCAATATGTCACCATCTTTACGGTGGTGTATAGAAGAGTCTGAACCTTTGCCTTTAATATTTTTACCAAGTTCCACACATTAGATATGGCGTGCGTGAATTAATTGTGGAGACATAGTTCCTCCATGATTGCCGCTTATTTTGCTAAGCACGCCGTGCCTTGGCACTAGTAATTTTAACATTATTCAAGTTACGAACTGTAGGTTTCAGCTTTCTTTTCTACACTTTCTTGATTGAGTGCATTCATTGTCAAA